ACTTCTTTTCATTTGTCTCCCTGGGTGCTTGTGGTCGGGTTCCCGGCTGGCTTGTCTCCGGACTTGTACTTCACTGTTACAAGTTCTTTACCCCTATTTCTAACCTAATGCATGCATAAGCGGGGGGTAAATTTACCCCCCAGAGTTGCCATAACCATAAGCCGGCTATTTCCTCAAGACACTCTACTCCTTATACCTTTTACCAGTGCTTATCCTACACTGCGGACGCCCTAGTGTATGCACAGTCCTTGTGATGCCAGAAATATCCAGAAATGCTTACCCCTCTTTCCGGCACAAGGCATACATAAGCGGTGGGTAAATTTAAAAATTCAACCACCAGAATTGCAATAACCATAAGCCGGCTATTTCCTCAAGACACTCTATATTCCATATACCCTTTACCCGTGCTTCTCCTACACTACGGACGCCCAGTGTATGTACAGTCCGTGTGATGTCAGAAATGCTTACCCCTCTTTTCGACTCAAGGCATACAAAAGCGGGGGGTAAATTTACCCCCCTTCGTGCCCGCCAACGAGTCCGCCCGTGTTGTTCCAATGTACCCTTCCCAGTCGGCGATGTCACATTTACATTCTTCAGCGCAAAGTGTGTACGTAGCAACCTTTCTCCCAAAACATGTAATCACTACATGCTTTGCCGACTATGTAACTAGTACATCCGGTGCAATTCGGCTAGCTTTCGACCTCCTCCCCTGGCCTTAAGTCATTTGTCTCCCAGGTCTGTCAATGGTGGTGTCCGCCCTTTTCCGTTGGCCATGCAACATTTCTCTTCATTTGTCTCCCAGGTCTGTCACTGCCGGCCCGCCCTTTTCCGCTGGTTCTATTCATCATTTGTCTCCCAGGTCTGTCACTTGCGGTGTCCGCCCTTTTCCGCTGGCGATGCAACATTTCTATTCATTTGTTTCCAAGGTTGGTCACTGTTGGTGTCCGCCCTTTTCCGCTGGCTTTTCTGCTGGCCATGTAGCATTTCTATTCATTTGTCTGCCACATCTGTCACTGCTGGTGTCCGCCCTTTTCCGCTGGCCATGTAGCATTTCTATTCATTTGTCTCCCAGGTCTGCCACTGCTGGTGTCCGCCCTTTTCCGCTGGCGATGCGACATTTCTATTCGTTTGTCTCCCAGGTCTGACTGGTGGTGTCCGCCCTTTTCCGCTGGCCATGCAGCATGTCTATTCATCTCCCAAGTCTGTCACTGCTGGTGTCCGTCCTTGTCCGTTGGCCATGCAGCATTTCTATTCATGTGTCTCCCAGGCCTGTCACTGGTGGTGTGCGCCTTTTTCCGCTGGCCATGTAGCATTTCTATTCATTTGTCTCCGAGGTCTGTCACTGCTGGTGTCCGCCCTTTTCCGCTGGCGATGCAACATTTCTATTTGTTTGTTTCCCAGGTCTGTCACTGGTGGTGTCCGCCCTTTTCCGCTGGCCATGCAGCATGTCTATTCATCTCCCAGGTCTGTCACTGCTGGTGTCCGCCCTTGTCCGTTGGCCATGCAGCATTTCTATTCATGTGTCCCAGGCCTGCCACTGGTGGTGCCCGCCCTTTTCCGCTGGCATTTCTATTCTCGCGTCCGCTGGTGTGTCCTTGTCTATTGGCCATGAAGCATTTCTATTCATTTGCCTCCCAGGTCCGTTACTGCTGGTGTCCGCCCTTTTCCGTTGGCCATGTAGCATTTCTATTCATGTGTCTCCCAGGTCTGTCACTGCTGGTGTCAGCCCTTTTCTGCTGGCGATGCAACGGTTCTATTCATGTGTGTTCCAGGTCTGTCACTGCTGGTGTCCGCCCTTTTCCGCTGGCCATGCAGCATTTCTATTCATTTGTTTCCCGTGTCTGTGACTGGTGCTGCCGCCCTTTTCCGCTGGCCATGTAGCATTTCTATTCATTTGTCTCCCATGTGATTTCTTCTGCGCTGGTGTTTTCTGCCCTGTCCGCTGGAACAGGTTCACCTGTGAAAGGTTCTTGCTCCTTTGAAAGGGGTGCGTGATTGTCTCCGGGATTGCATTCCTGCCACACTGTGTAACTCTCTCAGCTTTGTTTCCCTTTTCGGGCAAGCGTTGGATGAATGACCGGATTGGATTTCGGCGTTCAGTTGGGACGGAGGGCATACGTCAGGCACCAAAAACCAGTTTCATGTCACGTCCTTCGCTCCTCATGCTTTTATTTCTTGTCCTCACGTGGTCAGCTCCCCGCTGATTGAGCAGCATGACCAGCATCATGTTCGCACTTGAAGAATAATTCCCCAAAAGGTTTGCTGTTGGGGCTTGTCAATTCTTTCTTAAGATGTGTCCGCCCGCTCTGTACGCAATCCTTTGTCTCCCAGCTCTGGGCGTCGCAAGCTCTAGTTTCGGTTTGAAAAGCGCAAACTGTTTGGGGTCTACGGTGGTGTAATCCACTTGATTTTGCACGGAAGAAACGTTTTAGTAGACCCACCATTGCCCCGGTCACGGCGAGCAGACCCCCCTTCTGGGCACCAAGGTGAACTTTGGGATGACAAGTTCCACAAAGCTCACGCCCGAGCGCTTCCCACAGCTCTTGCTGTTGCATGCGCGGCCGATGGATGTCCAGCTCAAACGTGCCTCTTCTCCAAAACGGGCCGCAGGTAAGAGTAAGAGCCAAGTCCACCAGGATCATGAGATGGAATAGTCTTCAGGTGCTGTTGGCCAGCCATGGTTGTTTTGCACTGCTCTTGTGGTTGACCTGGTACGCAGTTGGGGGAAACAAGCTGGTTGGAGGTAGGTCAAAAACCACACACAGTCTCAACGACCAAGACCTAAATGCAGGCAATTGAAAAGAAGGATTTGACTGTAGCGTTCGCAGCGGAAGCTGGGCTCTCAGAAATTCCAAAGGGCCGTAGAGTTTTAGGACGGTTCCAGCCAGTAGCTTCTTGTGTGTGTCAGTGGCACCTTGCTATGCAGGCAGCTTCAACTTCAACAAGCTGCGTGCCTTCCTTTTCTCCCGAGCTCTGGCGGGGGTGGGTTTGGATTCAGACCAGTGGGTGGCCCCGGGCGTGGACCGCTTGTTCGACATGACCGAGCGGGAGATTCACGAGAAGTATCCCTTCCCCATCATGCCGGTGCACTTCCTGGATCGTGGACCTAAGGACCGAGACCCCGCGAGTCGTTCCATACCTTGAACATTGGAATTGGAGGGAGGTGCAGTATGATAGAGCTGTTGTCTTGAGGTCACAAGGGTAGCAAGGCTGGAGCTCGCTACAATCTCCAAACAGAAGAACAGATGAATCCAACAAAAAACACGATGCCTCATTGGTTTGTTAAATCCAGCCAGGACTTGGGCGTTTGGTGGAGCCGGTACTGCCCGAATGATGTTTGTGGCTTTGTGCTGGCAATTTGCACCCCACGACTGACATAGATGACATAGCCCCGAACGACCACACGCCTGGTAGAATAGAACGGGCCTGTGTCAGTTTTGGCAGGGTGCATTAATGTTTGCTGCTTTGGTTGCGGAATGTAGTGATGACAAGTAGTTGCTTCACTTGTTTGTGTTTCTATGCTTTTTATTGGGCACTGGAGGTTGCGATTCGGATACATCATCAGAAGCTTTTGCTGTTCGGCACGCACCGACCTCGTCGGCGCATGTCTTTCAAAGGGGAAGTGTGAACCCCTCAGTACCGGGCCCAGGTGAAACAAGCCCCCCAGATGGTGCCCCACCACGTTGAGGGATTTGTTCGAATCCACCCAGGCCTAAAAGAGAAAAAAACGGTCTTTCATCGAAAAGACGAAGTGCTCACGTGCGAAACAGGTAGTCTCCAAACCATGCGCTGGGGCCATGCTCACCCGACATGGACCTATTGGGCGTTGCCCTTCCTCGGCCGCTGGCTGCGGCGGAACTTCCGCGACGAGACCCTGCCAGCCACGGGGAAGGCGATCGCATTGAGAGTGGTTGAGATCCCTGAGGATGAGGCACCCTGGGTGGCTCAAAGGATGGGAGTGACTTAGGAGAGCTAGCAGCCATGAGTGTTTTTGTATAGGTGTGTAAGGACTTGAGAGAGCGGGGTGGTCTGTGGCAGCTTTTCTTCCCGAGATGTAGACTAAGGGGAAGGTCTCCCCCAATCTCTGGTTCCGGGTTGCTTAGTTGAAACATCCGTCTCCAGCTAAGCCCGACGTGCAATAAATGCTCTGAGACCAGCTGAACATCACGTTCCATTGCCTTCATCCATCCTAGACAGCTTGCGCGCGCACACACACACACACATATACAGAGCATGACGAAGAGGAACGAGAGAGAGAGAGAGCGCATACTGAATTTTCTGCTTCGCCCTTTGAGGACTTGTTGAATGTGGGTCTATGGGAAGAAAAGGCCCACAAGCAGTGGTGCAAGTTTGACATCACCGACCCCTTGGAGTTTCAGTTTCTGTTCGATTGGAAGACGAAGTACGGCAACAGGCAGGGATCCATCCTGAGGTCAAGCATGTTCGCTCTAGGGAAAGTGGCCAGTGGGGCCCGGTGTTGGACTGCCAAAGCTGCCAGGCCTCAGGATTAAGTCAAATGGATGAAGTATCAGGTACCCATGATGCCACATGACTGTCAGGTGCTCAATGGGTGGACCTGGCTGTTCCAACATTTCGCCCGATCGCCGTTTCTACAAGCGGGGTGCAGCCAAGTTGTTCTACACGGCCCACCATGCGGTCAACCCAACGGACACGCATAAACAAGTTGATCGTAGCTGGGCCGGTCCATAGACTTGGCACATGTTTGAAACACTTTGAAGGTTTGTCCTTTGAAGATTGTTTTTGATCTTATGTAACTTATGTTATATATGTGTGTTTCTTTTCTCTGGAAACTTGCTGACCAAAGAGCTGTTGTGAAGTCTTTGAGCCGAGGCATCATGAAGAAATGGAAAGAAGGCACATGGCCGAGCTCCACCATCGTCTTCTGGAGATTGCTGAGAAGCTTTCATGTGTTCGAGTTTCATGAAGAAACCTTGGTTGGAGGTCATTGGGGGTAGCTGTTGACCGAACCTATCTATGATGATCCATGATGTATTGGCGTTATAGCTCTCGCGGCTCGTCAGTTCCTCAGCTCAACTCAGGTCTACGAGCGAAAGCTTTGGGTAGCCAGTGACTTGAAGAAAGCCCATCCTCAACTGGAATGCCTGGTGTGAAACCTGGACCTGCTACCAACCCATAAGACGTGAGCGCGTCTGGTGAAATGCTGATGACGTCTAGGTTTGTTTGGTGTTGAGTCTAGCTAGGTGGTCTTGGGCGGCTCAAAGGACCTTTGAAGAGCAGAGGTGAAGCCTGGCGTCGCAGAAAAACATTCTCTTCTTGAAGAATTCGGAATGGCATGATCCCTCATGTAAATCCTACCGGGTGTTTTTTTGTCCCACCTAGCCGACCTAGCCCCCAAGAGTCCAATCATCGTGCGAAGCGGGTTCCAGAACTTCTGTGCCAGAGTTCGCCTGTGCAATCATCACGTTGTGGTGTCAAACTGTTTCAAGAATATCACGCAACAATTGGATTCCGGATTATATATCCGGATTCCTTCTTAAAAGTCGTGCAAGATCATTCTTGCAGCCCTCCCCGGTAGGCACGTGCCAGTTGCCGCGCACTGCGAGCGGGGATGAGGCCATTCCGCACCTGGCGGGCTGGGAGGCCAAGAAAAAGAACGACCTGGCGAATCGGTCGATAGGGCCGATAGGGTGACCAGGTGGTTTGGGTCATTTTGGGAGTTTTGTTGAGTTTGGTTTCAAGGTTGCATGCTGTTTGCGTGACCTGCAAAAAGCTACTGCTCAGTGGCTTGGTCATGCAATAAAGGATTGCGGACGGGTTTGAGTAGAATGTAGACCAGCCAGCAGGAATTGTCCTTCTAGTAACCTTTCGGCTGCATGTCGGATGAGACACATCCACTTGGTGAAGGGTTATATAAACCTGGAGTGCATTGTGTCCATGGTGTTGTCAGCAAATATCAGCAAGAATACCTCAATTGCAACGTGAGCAGGCAGGTGTCGTGTGTTGAGCTGTGCGTCCGTCGATGATGTTCGAATGCTCCAGGCCCAAGCGGCTGTCAAGATCCGTTATATAAATTGACTGCTTCTTTTGCCAGATCAAGGTTGAGGTTGGGCTGCGCTGGCTCAACACTGTTGGTGGACTGCAGTCGGTCATGTGCTTCACTGTGTTGATTGGCTTATTGGGGAGCCATAATTAAAGTAAAAGAAATTATGTCGACCCTAGTGTTTTATGTGTCACTTGTTGTGAGAGGATCGACTCTGTAGAGAGAGAGGGATGGTGTTTTGAACGTCACGTGGGGTGCCATGGCGTGCTTTCGTTGGGCCACTCGAGTTGCGAGCAGCTCAGCCAATTCATGACCAATGGGTCCAGAACGTGAGCTATGTCTTCGGTCGGACAAGCATGGTCGTGGCATGTGGCAGTGTTCGATGGCGTGGCTTTAAAGGAATTCTTATGTATGTTGGTGATGTTTTTCCCTCCAACTTCCTTGACCCCTCGCGGCCCATGTCATAATTGGGAAGAGATGTTCGAGCCACATCATCAACATCTCTTTGTCGCTCACGCTGACGCGATCCCTCCTGTCCTGCTTCTGTTTGCTCCTTCGTGGTCTCCCAATTTGGGTTGCTCTTGTTTTTTGGGCCGGTTTTGGGCGGACAACACTTCCAACCCAGGGAAAAGGTTGTCAATTGGGAGTTACTTCCCCCTCGACCTGTCCATGGCGCCAAATCGCGCAGCTCCAAGTCTGCTGCCGAGCCGGTGCAGGCCATGCCCCCAAAACCAATGGGATATAGCGAATGTGGATGTTCGACAGGTTTTGGATAGCTTAGAAGGGCTGCGGATGTTTTTTTCTTGTTTTTTGTTGTTTGTGCGTTGTGTTTTTTGATGTTTATTGTGTTTTGGTTGTTTTCCTTTGTTTTTTTGTTGTTTGTTTCCTTTTCCCTGAACAGCACAGCTCTGTAGGCTGGCCACTCCCCAGCACAGGGCAAGGGCATGCGCAACCCTGGCCACTTGTGAGCTGCACAGCTCTGTAGGCTGGCCACTCACAGCAGCACAGGGCATGCGCAACCCTGGCCACTGTGAGCAGCACAGCTTTGTAAGCTCCAGCACGACAGCCGTAGAAGCAAGGGAAGTCAAAAGCCACAAAAGCCAAAAGCCAACAGAAGCCACCAAAAGCCAACAAAGAAGCCACCAAGAGCCAACAAAGAAGCAGAAGCAGAAAAAAACAAAAGCCACCAAAAGCCAAAAGCCACCAGAAAAAAATATAACTACAAACAAAAACATCAAAAACATACCCCTCCAAAGTCGTATGGGGTGGATGCTTCGGATTTCAAGTACTTGCTCATGACTCGACATGATCTTTCAACTCCCGCTCACCTTAGGGCTTTGCTGGCTCGCTCTCGCCCGGCAATGCATTTGTGGTGCAACGCTTGGAGACCGTAGCTGCGCGCCGCGAGGCTGGCCACAGACGAAGATAGAGGAGTTGAAATGGCGACGCCAAATGCAACAAGATGGGAAGTATGCTCACTGGATTTAATTGAAGACCGGGTCAGAAACGACCTGGCCAGTGTTTTAACAGGTTGATCCACATTGTGAACATGAAAACTAAGTACTGACTTCAAAAAGTCCTGAGGCCGCCGGCAATGCTCGGCAGCATGACAGCTGGACCCCAAATAATCACGCAGTGCACCATGAGTGCTCCCGAAAACGTCTCTTCCCATCATCCGGGTTGCAGGTCATCAGCGTTCAGCCAACCTGCCTCGGGAGGCTGCAGGAGCCCTGCAGAGGAAGGATGCAGTGCAAGAGGCTGTGGGGACAGTTCATGCTCGACAAACTGAAACACCTCGTACAGATCATGCAGATTCATACGGTGTATACACGTAAGTTATGGTGATTCATGTCAGGAAGCCTCACAAGAACGAAGGCAGCTGCGGCAGATGAGCAGACTTTCAGCCTGGGGCCGGGCCAAGGACTCACCGTACTGAGCTGTTTTGGAGCTCGCCAGACCCAGAAGCAGTGGCCCAGTCCCACCTCCAAGGGCACGGCCCTGAATTGGTTCCGGGGGGTTCTACAACATGTAACATGTGCCACGTGACGCAACCACATCTTTGATCAAGCTATGAGTGCCAGATGTGTGTTTGGAATCAGCTAGAAGACCCAGAGGCTTAGGCGGTTTGCCTCGTTGACTCACGCCTCATTGAGAGGACGACTCGCGAAGAGCCCCGGTTCGTGCTGGCCAGGTGTTTTGGCTGAAACGTTCCACTCCTCCTTCCAAATTTGACAGGGTTTCAAGCTAGTGTATTTATGCCAAATGCCAACTAAGAGAAGCTGATTCTTTGGACTAGTCGCGTAAATGAATGTTCTATTTCACTGCATTGGTGTCGATTCTGTTCTGCCTCCATATGGGTTTGGAGGACTATAGTGGCAAATCCTGAGCGCGGTTCTTGTGATCTTGGCACCAGGTAGCCCCTGAAAGTTTCCAAATGCATGTGGGCAAGTGGTTTTGTTGCTTCCGTTTCTATATGCATGGTGCAAGACACTGCACTGCACTGCACACAGTCCTTCCAAAAAACAAGCCACACGGCAATGCACGGTCCGTGCCTAGACACACAGATAGCTTTGTGCCGTGGCAACTCAAAGCGAACATGTCCAACAGACAAACCCGCAAAGTTTTTTAAGAGGGGTACAGCCATGTCGATCTCCATCGCTGTGGCGCTGCTCAGTGGAAGAAGCAGAGTAATCACTGCACACCCGGATTCCACAGTGGATGACCTCCGGCTACAAGCTCAACTGAGTTTGAAAGTGGGCTTAGAGAGGTTGGTCACTGAAACAGGCGAGGTTGGGAAAGAAAGATCATGGTTTTGCCAACCAACCCTTAGTGCCTTAGTAGTACCCGGAGCTAGCAACTTGTCGGGTGATCGGGCGCTTTTGTTTGGCAAAGAATTGCCACATCAATGTTGAACTGTATAGCAGTAGCAGGCAGTAGCAGCCAAGAACTGAAAAGCCAACTCAGCCTTGGGGTTAGTGGCAATCCTGTGAGGTGTGATCCTGCAGGGCAAGTCGACTTTGCGAGCCTGGGCCAGTCAAGTGTTCTTGAAACCGCCAAAGGGGGAAGCAAGAGACCCCGTTTTGACTTGCAAACGTTACAATTTCTTTACACACTCTTTCATCAAAGTCGAGTCAGTATCAATGACATGCACGTCGAGCAATTTGTTTCAGATTAAATTGCATTCGGCTTGGGTGTTCCCAGATGTTCTTTTTGTTCTGCTGGGCTTTGTTCCCCACCTTGGAGCTTGTATTCTAGTGGTCTTAGCTCATTCTTTGGTGTTTTATCTCGGACGATTGGCTGAACACCGCAAACACAGATCCCGGAAACACTCAGCCAAGGAGCCTCGCATGTGCAGAGTGGCGCGACGTTGACGGCTCATGTGCGCCAATCGCAACTGGTGTCATCAGCCTTGGCGTTTGCACTCCTACGGTCAGATGGCACAGTAGTTTCGTGGGGCAATGCTGTCGACGGAGGCGACAGCAGTGCCGTGCAGGATGAGCTGAAAGATGCTTGCCATTAAAAGCCAACGCTACTTGTGACATTGTTTTTTTCAATTGCGCTTTTCTGTGGGAAGCTTTGTTTATGTTTGTTGGTGGCTAGCTTCATGCTGTGACCCGTTGCAAACTGAGGATGTGAACCAGATCCAGTCGACCTTGCACGCCTTCGCGGCAATCAGATCAGATGGTTCGGTGGTTGCCTGGGGCAAGATGGACGATGGCGGACTGGTGCCCTCAGCCGTGGGTGCCGAGCTGGTGAACGTCACTGCCATCCAGGCTTCCAGCAGGGCTTTCGCAGCAATAAAAGCAGATGGTTCAGTTGTGACCTGGGGAAACCCCAGTGACTGGGTTGCAGTTTGAGTCTTTGGGAGGCTGCATGCCACAGGAAAGCCAATAGGTGTAGCGGTGGAGAAACTAGACCAACATTTGTTCTGCTGGCAGGTCATGTGGGTGAACCGAGCGGCCAGCAACCTTCCCCGTTTTGCTGAACATGTTTAGAACTTTTGTGGCAAAACTTTTCACCCATCGACAGTGGCGGGCACATTGTCCTAATGTACGAAAGGCTATTGACTTGCACCTGGAGATATATTTTGGGTGTATGTAGGTAGATGGATAGATGGATGGATAGATGGATCGATTGATAGATAGATAGATAGACAGATGGATGGATGGATGAATGGATAGATGGATATAGATAGATAGATAGATAGACAGAGAGATAGATAGATAGATAGGTAGATAGATAGATAGATAGATGCGTGTGTGTTTGTGTGTTTTATGTTCAAGCTCACATCTTGAAGCTCGTGCAAAATTCTAGGAAACCAATCTGGAATTCCATTAACTGCTATTGTTACCGCTGCAAAGTGTTGCACCCTCCAGTTGCAAGGAAGTCAACTGTGATCAGAGTTGGGAACCCCTTAGGAACCCGTTTGGAACCCCACATGCACATGTTGCTGGGACTGAAGGATATGGTGGCGACTGCCGTGCCCAGAAGGAGCACTTAAAGGAGGTCACCCAAATCCAGGCCTCACGCGACACGTTTGGCGCCTCCTTCGCAGCGGTCCGGGCCGATGGCCGTGTGGTTACCTGGGGCGTCGCTGACGCCGGAGGTGACAGCAGTGCCGTGCAGGAGCAGCTTCGGCAGGTGCAACGAATTCAGGCAACCCGCTTTGGGGGCTCCTACGCAGCCATCCGTGCAGATGGGACGGTAGTAACCTGGGGCAACCGGGCCTCAGGGGGTGATAGCAGTGGGGTGCAGGCCCAGCTGTATGAGGTGGAGCACATCCAAGCCACGGAGAGCGCGTTCGCAGCCATTCGGAAGGATGGATGTGTAGTGACTTGGGGGAATCCCCATGATGGCGGAGACAGCACGGAAGTCCAAGATCAACTCATGGATGTGACGCACGTTCAGGCGACCTCACATGCCTTCGCTGCAATTAGAGCGGATGGCAGTGTCGTGACTTGGGGGAGTGAAAGCTGCGGAGGTGATAGCAGTGAAGTGCAAGAAGACTTAGAGTTGTTCAGCAATGGTTGTCTTTATTTACTTTTTTTTGTGTGTTTGTCGCTTCTCCATGCTAGAGCTACTTGGTGGGTTGGACTTGTGCGCGGTCCGAGGAATCTTTTCACAAAACACCAACTCAAAGTGGCAATTGACACGTGGGGAGTCGCCAAAGTCAAAAGCGAGGTGTCCTTTTCGGTTGTTTTACCACCAGGTGCTACCTCTGACTGCAATTTGATCCGTCTTCCCCGCGACCTTTTACACGACGCACTATGCGGGTGGAAGCACCCGCATCCAAATCCAAGGATCAGCTCTATGGTGTGACGATGATCCAAGCTGCCTCGTTGGCTTTTGCCGCCATCCGACGTGATGGATCCGTTGTAACCTGGGGCACTCCGGACGCGGGCGGCGACAGCCGGCACGTGCAGGAGCAGCTGAAGAACGTCACCGGCATCCAAGTGCCTCGTCTCATCTCGGCTTCCTGAGCTCCGGAAGCAAAGAGACCGAGAGTTGGTAGCTTTTGATGGTTGTTGCATTTCACTAAGCTATTCTGGCTGAACTGCTTTGTGAAAGCACGAGAGAGGAATGCAGTTGGGCCCAAATGAAGGGAGCAATGAGGTTTGAATGTATTTCATCAGGAGGGCTCTCCAGCAATGCAGTGCTCAATACATTCCAATCGAAACTTTGTGTCAAAACTTGATTCGGCCAAGCAAATGCCCATGCCGCCTTAAAGGGCCTCGAGGCCAACGCAACGTGGGAACTGTCAGAGTTAAGTGAAGAGGCCATGAGAACATGACCCATCATGACCCTCTTTGCAGAAGCGGGTGAACAGCGATTCTTTCCATCCGCAATTGAAACATGATCATTGGAAAGAATCGATGTTTCAATTGCCACCATGATCATGAACACGTGTTTCCATGAACATGATCATGTTTCTGTTTCCAACATGAACATCGAGATGGGAATTACTAACATCCCACCTCTGTGAAATGCCAAGGCTTCCCGCGAAGGTGTCCGCTGTGCATTTGCTGCTTTACGAGCAGATGGTTCGGTAGTAACCTGGGGTGACCCCAGCAGCGGGGGCTACTGCAGGATGGTGGGAGATCAACTCTTTGATGTCCAAGAGCCTTGGGTTTAAGCCAACCTCTCTATAAATATATATATACACATATATATATATATATTTGCATTTATGCATATACGTATATGCGGTGCCCAAGAAGACGACCACCTATCATTGTAGGACAAAAGGTGCCTATGTCAATGTCCGATCCCTTCAACGCTCTGCGTTCGATTCGTTACTCTGCAGCATCAAAGGACCCCCCCCAATCTCATTGGCCACTTCGCTTCGACGCGCGGGCCGAAGCGCGGGCGACCTGCGTCGCGCGCGCATCGAATTCCTAAGGAGATCCAGGGGACGGAGAATTGCTTCGCAGCGATCCGAGGGGACGGCGGAGTGGTGACATGGGGCAACGGTGACTTCGCACCCGACGGCCCCACGGCTGAGGAGCTTTTGCAGGATGTGCAACAGGTGGGGGGTGATGACAGGTGTGGTGCCCTGAGGGCATGTGTGATAGTATGTTATAGCTTAGTATGTTATAGTCAGTTGTAAAGTTTCTTTTGAATTTGGCGGATTTTGTGACAGCCTCCTCCCAAACTCGCCCAGATGCTGAGCGTGGACCCTCCTTGCCCAGCAGGTGCCCACTTCCACCATCGGCTCTGATGGCTCGGTGGTCACCTGGGGCCGGCCGCTTTCGTCTGAAGGCTAGCTGTCGCTTAAGTGCTGTGGCGGCTCCAGAACCGGCCACAGGATTTCAACTGGCCAGGTAGAAGTTGCGTTCAGATACCAATAATAATTCAGTCAATAAGCAACTGCTTAAAGAACAACGCGTTTCGACCACAAACTACATTGACCACGAAAATTGGAACGTTAAATTTGCTTCGACCACATGCCAATGTCAACTAGGACATGTTGGACCCAAATAACATCCATCAAAACTACAGTACTGTAATCCATGCCGGTATTGAGAAGCTTCTGCCAGGGTTCTGGGGACTGGCCAGCATGCAGCTCATGCCGGAAGGTGCTCCTTCAAGGGGATAGGAGTGCTGGAAGGCTGCTTCACTATGTTTCACTGCTATTTGCTGCAGCGCATTGCGTTTGGTGTTGCGAAAACGAGTGGAGATGGCAATGGGATTGTCATCAGGTTCTCGTGCAGTCCTTTGCTTCACGCGTGTAGGGTTTTCAGGTTTTGGAGCAATCCGGTCCATCAACAGTTGGCCCTGCGGCCAAGGAGTTCCCGAAATCTTGATTATCTCAAAGGTTCGAAGAGGCTGCTCTTCAACCTTTGTTTCTCTTATGTTTCCCCAGCGTTCTCGCCCACAGAATCACTTCTAACAACATGAGCGGAGTGTGAGGACAACGACATGAAGGCAGAACTGATGCTCAATCCCACCAGAGCCCTTCCTTGGCCGAGGACTTTCCACCCTTTGCCGTTTGCCGTTTGCACCAGAGCATCGACGCACGATGGATTGCCTCGTGACAGCCTGGAGGGCATGGCAGGCCTCGTTCAGGGAGTGGCTCGGTTTGACCCAGGCTTTGGCACCACACCAGGAACGGGCGATGCTACAGAAAGAAAACATATTGTTTTCTATGCTGGTTGGTTCCAGGATGTTCCAGGTGATTTCGGGGAACTTTACAGCGAATCTTCAAGTTACTGCTTCGGACCAGCTCACAGAATAGCATTTTGCCAAGTCAGCCACTAACATAATCTCAACATGCCATTTTATCCACCTTTTGCCGGCTTCCTCCACGAATCAATCATGATAGATTGAGCCCTAGTTCACCGAGCGACGTCATCAGCAGCCTTCCAAATGTCGGCTGCAGGTGGTCTCTTCCGCCGCACTTCCTTCGAGGGACGCCCAACCACAGGCGACCCACGTGCCGCAGGCGTGCGCAGCGCATTTAGCCCCTGCTGTATTGACTTCACCCCTGGAACCTGACTCGCAAAGGCATGTTCACCCTGATTCGTACTACGTCTCGATCTAAAACCGCTGTCAAACGTTTATTGTGTTGTTGTTTTGATACCACGTCCCTCCAGTTTGCTGCCTTCCGCGGCTGGCGCCGGCAGGGCCAAATGCGCCCACACTTCTCCAGAAAGAGGAAGCAGCTGAAGAGCAACTCGGCAGCAGGTCAGCCATTTTCACTTGAGAGGTTTGAAAGAGCAGCCACGTTTACCATCCAACGGCTCTTTACACCGTCTGTCTATTCTTGCACAAGGCGCTGGTAAAACGCTTTGTTTCTTCTGAAAGGGTACTTGTTGATGGTGGAAACGCCTTGGGCCACTTCTTCCCGTGTCGCAATGGCATGCGCTTCCTTGATTCGAACGGCACTGTCTCCTAAGATAGGGGATTCAAGAAGGGTCACTCGGGCGCCCCTCAGGCCCTTGGGTGACAGAGCGCGCCATGGAGATTTCCTTGGCAGTATTGACTCAGGAGGGGAAGTGATCAAGAGAGCACAGATCTCCGATCTTGCACGCTGGCAGGAACCCAGCAGACCTAGCAGCTAGCTAGCCCAGCAAGTAGCGGCAGCTCCAGGCAATGACTTCCCCCAGGCCCAGAGCTGGCACAGAAAAAGTTGTCCTAAAAATCATCCTAAAAATCATGTTTGGGGAGATGGATCCAAGATGACAAAAGCACACAAAAGCTCCTTGTTGGGCCATACGCCGTACTGCCTGCCGACATTCACAGATTGAGAACCTTTGCGAATCTTGAGTGAAAGTGTGGGCGTTTTGATATCACATGGTGTCACCATTTCTGAAACTCCACAACTCCTTTGACTTGTAGGCTTTGTTCCGCTTTGTTCGCTGTTTCGGGCACAAGTACGGCCCAATTTATATATAGCCGCGGCTTGCACCACCATGATCGAGCACTTCCTCGAAGAGGTGGAGAGCGAGCACAGCGAGCCCAACAGCGAGCCCAGCGAGCTAAAGGGTGAGAAGAGTAGTGCTTTGCAATCCTTCTTGCGAAGGCATGGCTTCATGAGTATCTACAGTGCTCGCCAGGCGAACTGTCAGGTCGTTCGAATGGATGCTCGGCCGATGTTTGGGTTTGCATTTGGATAGGGAGGCATCCAACCAATGGGGGGGGCCTCTGGGAGGTCTACCTATTTTAAATTTGATACTCTGATACACACCCCATACATTTTCACAGTGGGTCATGGTGATTCTGGAAGTGGGGCGGGTTGATTGGCCGTCCTTTTGCTTCATGTGCTGTTTCATGTTCAGGCGCGGCACGGGCAAAGGCAACGTCTCCAGGTCATGCCCTTTCTTTTTCTTCCAATCACCTCACCATTGCCAGCAGTGCGAGGAACGAATTTATCCCATTCACGTTGCAGCACAGCTTGGCGACCTTAAGATTGTCAAGATGCTGTTGGAAGATGGGGCAGATCCACTTCAGGTCCGCCACTTTGGGATTCTAAGATGACAGGTGCCGGGACGTTCCATTTCGTCCATGCTGGGTGGCCTTCAGAAGTGGTTTGTGAGCTATAAATAGCCAGCTACATATAGTTAAGGACGCTTGGGCTGCAGCACCATGCAGCCTTTGTTGGACAAGGCCTCTATCCTGCAGCCACATGAAATTGAAAACATGCACCTGCCACCAGTGGTGTCAGGTTCCCAAAACGACCGCAGTTCACTTCGCTACTAAGAGTTCGCACGCATTCGTGGGATATGAAGCAGGGTAGCGGGACCCTACCCGGTCTGAGCCAGACGTCACAGACCTGATGTCACCTGATGTCCTTCATTTTCGCCTCACAAAGCCCAGTGGAGTTTTGTGCTCACTGTTCAGTGATTGGGGGGGCATGGGGGGTGAGTTCAACCCATCATGACACCCCATTCTGTTCATGGCATGGCCGTGCCAGGAGTGCTTCGATGGTCGCAATGCCGTGGACTTTGCCCGTAACGCTGACGTGAATGGCTCCCATCAAGAGGTCATGGAGTTGCTGGAAATGGGTCTAACTTCGATCTCATTTTAGAGCCTTCAGGCCAGACTGCACCCTTCTGACAGCGTTGCATTTATATAAGCTTCCTTTGCCCTGAAAAGTGTTTGCTTCATGTAGTGCCAGAGCATGGCATCTCAGATGAACCACGGCCGATGTGCCAGAGCATCCCAGATGTTCTGAACCGTCAATGATCTGCATACGAAAATGCTTGCCCAAACAGCACGTATTGGTAGGTGCACTTTGTGGGTGGACTGGAGGAATGCCGTGCCAGACGGCACGCTTCAATCGTCAGGTTGTTTCTGATTTATGATGTTCAATTAACATCAATTAACCATTCGTTCCAAAAAGGCACCTCAGCCTTTGCCGGGGCTCATCTAAGCCCCTTTGCCAAGGGTGGCCCCTTTGGCAGGTGGACTTCTGTGAGCAAGCTTGCGTGAACGGAGGCCATAGGTGATCAAGCGATCATCAAAGTGAGTCACCGCTATTGAGACTTGGGCTGAACTCAGAGAGATGATCAGGAATTAGATTGTTTTATGGTCTTGATGCGGTGCCTTCACCAAGCGGAGTGCCATTCAAGAGTTTGTGTGGCAGCAGTAGGTGTGATTTTGGCTCAACTAATGAAATGGCCATACAGTTGGCCATACCTCTTTCATGCTGGCCCTGTTTGATGTTTTAGCTTTGCGGCACCCATTAAGTTTGCTCATAGCATGGCCTGGAAGATGTGGCATTGACAAGCACAAAGTCATGGAGTCATAGAGATCTTCCCCTCAATGATTGAGCCATTCTCACAAGCATGGAAGAGTGGTTGCCTGAGAGCGCAAGCACTTCTCTTGTAAGCGGATGATCCGTTCAGTTTCTTGTAGCGCTGGCGAAGCGGGTCTGGTGTGACAGGCGTCAGGGCACTGGAGAAGAACCTGTGCAGCACTTTGTGCACTGTCTTCCTTCAACATTCAACAGCTAAGTTATTGTCAGCAGAGCGCTGTCTCAAAAACAGCAAGTTTGCGATAGTGTTCACCTGTGTTCAGATCTTTCGATTTTTTGACATGTTCCGATCTCCAAGTTCCGATGAGTTCTTATCCAGAATCCAGAGCGCTCGGTCACCGTAGCCTGCTTTTCTACGACACTGCGAGTTATCAAGAGATGATCGAAGAAGTCACCGCTATTCATGATACAGATGTCCTCAGAACAATTACCTGGCAGGTAGATATGCACGCCCAGGGTGTTCGGTGTTGTCCTGTTGTGAAGCGGTGTACTCCTGTTCAATGCCACTCAGACAGCCCGTTAGAATACAACGGCAATTATTCTCCGGATGTGGAAAATATTCTTCAAAATTGTGTGGAAGAGCGGTTGCAACCAAGAGTGCGACCATTCCTTCTGCAACCGACAGCCGTGGCTGCAAGGGCGCTTGGGTGGCTTTCGGCAACAAAAATCACAACCGATTGATTTAGGTAGGGAAGCGACGAGTTTTTGGCATTCTTGCAGCCAACGACTTGAGCGAGCAAACTTGTGCATACGTTTAAAGCCCTGGATATGAGTTGTCCAGCAAAGCTACGGCTGATGGAACAAACGTTGTGCCACTTCAAACCCCGAGGCATTGTGAATGGCAGGGCTCCCTATCTCAAGTGATGCGGGAATTGTTCCTTCGACGGCAGTGGTTTTGCAGTCTTGCGCATTTCAAGACGTTGCTCACCCGCTGTTCTGTTTGACTCTTACCCAGGGTGCTTGGTAGCCGCCGTAGCCCATTTTCTTGGACACTGCGGATGATTGAGAGATCATGAAAGATGGACACCGCCAAAAATTATCCATGATGTTCATGACTCATGACGGCCAATGGACATTGTGCCCAGGTTACTTGCTTTTGTTCTGTCGTGAAGCGGTGCACTCCTATTCAGCGCCACTCAAGCAATTTCTTGGTGTGGTGCATGCTTTCCTGAAGAAAGTTCATGCAACCCTCCAGAAGTCAACCCAAAAATCTACATTCATTTATGCCTACTTGTGGTGTTCGTATGGCCTTATGGGAAATCTCAAGGTATGGTCCACTTTGGGGGGGTCACGTTTCCAAAAAGGATTCGTGTTCCAATCTCTATAATTCCTATGATTATGACAATAAGTCCACCCAAGAAAAGAAGTTTGCAAATCAGAGTACGGAGGAGCCAAGGAGTGGTTGCTGCAACAAACAGGTGCAGCCTATGTTATTCTCCGAAGTTGGTCAGAATAGCCGCACCCCTGCGAGAACTTTTGGATAGACTTTTCAAAGCAGGACAGCATGTTCATGTTTAGCCTAGTTGCTTTTGTGTTCTTTTGCTCTCAAGGGCCACGTTTGGCAAGCGCCAAGACTTGGCAAGAGAGCCGAAGAACAAAACAACATATTTCCCGTCTAACTTTGACAAATTTGACTTGCCAGTATGATCCTGATTGTGTTTGTTTGTGTGTGTGAGTGGGGGTGTTTCTATTTGCCAGTGTTGCACGCACGCACGCGCCTGTAGCGAGAATCTTCGACCGCTTAGCTAGACAAAATGCGTCAGTCTGATTGACGGACTCTTGCGTTGCTCAGATTGATGGAAAACGTTGGTCCACGATGCTGCGCGGATAGTCATGGAGGTTGCAACATGGGCTAGGCAGACTGCATGAATGTACTGTAGCAGTTAAATCACAAGTGTTAAATCACAAGTTGCCATGCCAGAGAAGACCTTCCTTGAAGTTTGGTCGGGTGGTTGGCTTTGACAAGAAAAGTTGTTTCTTTGTTCGCAGTATGAGATCCCGGAGATGATTTTGCCCAGGAGGACTGGCAATCTGCTGCGTGCTTACAAGTTGGAAAGACATTTGCAGTGTTGGTGCAACCTTCGGGAGACGCCTGCAGCAGCTTTCCTGGCAGGCTCCAGCTTGCTTGCCGCAAGCTTGCCCATGGTCCATACAAATAACGCCGTTCATTGATTCGTTTTTATGGCAAGCCAACCTCCTTGGAAACACCTCTGAACTCACAAGCGAGCAGTTTTTTCTTGTGGTTTGAAATGTTTCAGCAGCTGGATGCTAGATTGCTTCACGCCGTGGGACATGCTAGTAAGTAGGTGCATGAGTAGTCACTCAGCAGCCTTGCCAGGCCAAGGAGCAACCCAGTGAGTGAGTGGGTGCAGGAAGTTTGACTGGTGCAATGTCCCAGTCTCACTTGCCTGCGATCAGTGACCCCCCCTTGTGAGAAAGGCCGCTTGCCTTGCGCGAACATCGGTGGAGGGTGGAATACAAGCCAGCTCGTTTGATCAAGTGCATGCAAACCTTCACGACCGGGCTTTACTCAGATGAAAAGTGATGCACAGTAGGGCATAGATCACGTTGTTTAGGTTACAAGGTTGCTTGATGTTGTTTGGTTATATATATATATATGGGGGAAGGCATCAAACCTCTAACCCCTGTCCCAAGTGCAGATGTGGACGGTGAAAGGAGCTGCTCGCTCTTAGGTCACCGTCCACCGGAGCGGTGCCACTCATCGATGGAGGGTGCGGGCCCACTGGGCGCAGTCCACTGTGTTGAAGTTGAAGAACTTGTCCAATGAATCTAGTACTTGTTAAAGGCCTATGCAAGTCTCAGACCTGGGCTTGTGCAACATGTGTGGAAAGTTCATGTTTGCAAAACTGATGAGCCTGACAGGGAGTCACAAGATGTCCCCAGGACTCCAGGCAAGTGTTCAACTAAAGTCATTCAAATGTTCACGTCAAAAAGATGGTTGGTTGGTCACAGCACGAATGGGTCACCATACACAGGCTGGATGAAAGACATTTGGAGTCTTATTCGAGCTTGGATCCTGCTCCTCCATTGAGAGCGCTGTTTGACAGTCACCGGAAGCCGCCATCAAGATTGGGGAAGCCATTGCGCCCGTGGGGAGAGCTCGGAGAGCTGAAAGGCCTTAGAGGCAGAGACTGACAGGGGTTCCAGGCAGTTCCTGGCTCCAATGCTGTTCAAATTGTATACATCATTGTCGGTCGTACATCATGTGGCCACGTTGAAGTCGCCATGTTTGGCAACCTTGTAGATGCGAGGGTTGTCGGCAATTGCACGCTTGTGTAAGGGGTTGGGGTAAGTTTGAAGGTGAATCAACTCCAAGAAACATTCTTGCAAGACTGCAAGGTGTAGTCCGTCAATCATTCCATAGCGATCCTAGGCTGGAAGCATTGCCTTGTCACCAAGCTGTACCGCCGGTCCACAGGTGTGCCCGGCCCTCCCACCAGTGTGCCAGTGCGCGAATTCCTGGCATTCTCAAAGTGAATCAGGAACAGTGAAACCAGTCTACAACGAAGGAACGAAGGGTTGTTTCGCTTGAGCCACGTGGAGTAGTGCCTACAGTACTTTGTCCAGAGTTGCCGCCAATATCCGGTGACAATGGCAACCGTAAGTTGTTCGGTTATCATGAGATTCCGTGTTGAGATTGTGGTGTCCAAGTTATGCTCATCTGGCACAAGAGTCATTCAAAGAAGCTGCTTGCTCAAGTGCACCGGCTTGGAAGCTGGTCAGCACAGATGTACTTGGTCCAAATCGGCAAAATCAAATCTCGAACTCTTCCAACTTAGAACATCACAATGAAATGGAACGCCATGTCATGAGCAAACGGTCAAAGTCTTTGAACCATTGAGCCAGCGGTTGATATGGGCAGTAGAAGGACGTGATGACTGCATACTCAGGGGCTTGGTCCCAATGATGAAGGAGACTGTTTGCAATGGACGGATGTGACATGTGTTACAATGCTGACCACCAACCGCCTGGCTGTACTGGAGGATGTTGGTGCTAGCCCCAGCGAATGCACAAAGTATGAAGCATCGGCCGAGTCCTTGATGTATTTGGATAATTTTGGATATGTATGTAAGTATACATATATATATATATATGTATGTGTATATATGGATATTTGACCTTTGACTGCGAACATCCAGCGGAAGATTATACCCTGGGTTGACGGTCAGAAGATTGCTGCTTCTTTGTCATAAGCCTGCCGTCTACGGAGTCTACGTGCAAGAGGGTCTCTCAGTTTCATGGCATAAAGTCCGAGGCCCTTGTCCCCCAAGCCCTTGTCCCCCACAACCGCTCTTCCCACCAGCATCGCGCTCCATGGAATTTGGTCATCAAAGCCACACAGGTCGGATGGCCATCATCCACGAGGAGATTCCCATACCGAGATCTGGAGAGGTTTTGGTCCGAGTCACCCATGCCGGGCTTTGTGGCTCGGATCTGCAGCTCGGCAAGTTCATCCGTCCAACCAAGTGGGGACTAGTTGGCCTAGTTCATCCGATTTCTGTGTCTCAAGAACCCTCCCAGCAATCCAGCATGTTGACACACGCGGGCAGTCACACGTGGGCGGTTTCTTGATGTTTCTGTTTGTTGGCTCGTTGGCTCTCCAGAACTGCAGATCACACTTTGTGTGCACTGCAGTCATTCCGGTCCGGGATAGTCGTGAGAGTGAAAGCGCAAAGGGTGGTGTGTCCAAACAGGCAAATTCATCCCAGTTGAACCTGGCCTTCGGAAGCTAAGTGTTCAGGGATTTGGGATTGACAAGTGTGTGTGTGTGTGTGAGTAGATTTGCGATGTTGGGGTACGCTCTGTTTGTTTGGGTTTTCTGGTGTGACTGAAGGTGTGCACAAGGCCTACACAACCTACACGAGTGTTTCTTCCCGCGGTGATGCAACAGAAGGATCAGTTGAGCTGCTGAGGCATTACTTTCGACATGGTGGTTTGGGGACCTTCAAGGTTGATTTGCCCATGTACATGGGACATGAGCCAGTGGCCTGGAGGAAACAAGGGCTTGGTTCCAAGAAGCCCGCCAAATGACAGATAGGAAGGAATGCCATAAGAATGCTCTTGGAGCTCAAGGAACTGAGAGATGGACAGAAGAAAGAGGGAAAGAAAGATAGACAGACAAAAGAAAGAAAGAAAGAAAAACGAATTGTGAATATGTCCTGTGCTCGAAGTTCAGAGGTTCCTTGCCGGTTGTTTCTCCATTGCTGTAGAGTGCGGCTACTTCGCCACTAGGCCGGCCACATTGCCGATCCTAATGGCTGTGAGGGCTGGGCAGTGGGTGACCCTGTGGCGGTGGTGCCCAATTGCCCCTGCCTCTCTTCCAGAATGTCGATGCAAGGTTCGCGCGGGCCTGTCCCGGCAGAAGGGAGAAACACACGGGCAATGTTGCATAACAGGGTCAAGACAGGGCAAAGAATCGTGCGTTTGTGGGCAAACTAGCCACGAGCACTGGTGATGCTCCTAGAAAAAGCTGCGGCTATGATTAGATTATGACCGGATGAGTCACTTGGTGTATTGTCAACACCTTCGTTCTCATGACAGCTTTTGGGAGGTTCCATCCATCCAATCATTGATTTGTCTAGTCAATTTCACCACATCATGACGAGTCATGAGACATACTTTTTTGGCATGATCCGCACCAATTCATTCATCATGTTCCTGCAATGTGCCGACAGAGACTGAGAGGCAAGCAGCACCTTTGTGAAGAGGGCACCTTCATGGGAGCAGGCGGCACCAGAGGATGTTTTGCAGACTTCGCCCCTTTGCTGACTAGTCAGGTGCAATCGCAACTCTTTTGTGGCAGGCAAGTGTTTCTGGGGGCAGGTGGAACAACACAAACACACTGGGGTGCACATAGTGTGCCCCGCTCGAACTCGAACTCGAACTCGAACTCGAACTGAAACAGTTATACAGTATTGATGAACTTAACCTTGAAAGGATATGGAAGGAACCGAACTCGAACTCGAACTCCAACTCGATCTCGAACTCGATCTCGAACTCGAACTGGAACTGTTAGAAGTCAACCCAGTGGACGAATAGAAAGAGTCGAACTCCAAAATCGCTGTCGTCGATTCGAATTCGAACTCGAACTCGAACTGGTCCCCCCCCCGGTGTCAAAATTGTCGTCGATTCGAAATTTGATCTCGAACTCGAACTGCGTTTCCCCCCTCCGGGCGTCAAAATTGTCGTCGATTGGAATTCGAACTCAAACTCGAACTAGTTCCCCCCCCGGAGTGAAAAAATTATCGTCGATTCGAAGTCGAATTCGAACTAATGCTGCGTTGTAATGGCTCCTTCCTATTCTAAATTTCACCTTCAAATGGCCCATAACAGGAATGCTACAGTGTAATATAATGGCTCCTTCCGGCTGTAAATTTTACCCTCGGGTGGCCCACAAAAGGCATGCTACGTTGCAATGGCTTCTTCCTTTTCTAAATTTTACTTTCGAATGGCCCATCAAAGGAATGCTACGTTGTAAATCGTTGTAATGGCTCCTTCCTACTCTAAAATTTACCATCGTGTGGCTCACAAAAAGAAATGCTTCGTTGTAATGGCTCCTTCCTGCTCTAAATTTTACCCTCGGGTGGCCCACAAAAGGCACGCTACGTTGCAATGGCTTCTTCCTTTTCTAAATTTTACCCACAAAAGGAATGCTACGTTGCAATGGCTTTTTCCTACTCTAAACTGTATCTGTGGCCCACAAAAGGCATGCCACGTTGCAATAGGCTTCTTCCTATTCTAAATTTTAACCTCGGATGGCCCACAAAAGGGATGCTACGTTGTGGTCAGATGGTTGGTTGCTGCTGGCGCCGCTGGCAGGTGGCTGTTGGTTGGTTGGTTAGCAGGGTTTGTTTTGCGGCAGGGAGTTCACACTAAAATGTTGATTTCGTGGCAGGCGCGGGTTTTGGAGAGGAAGTGCAGATTTCGTGGCGCGGGGGGGGTTGGGGGGGGCGCAGCGC